CCTGGCAAGCACGAGGTCGTGAGTTTGATTCCCGGTACCGGAAAAAAAAAACCAAAAAAACCCAAAGCACAATATCTTTTATACGTTTTGGTCCTTACTTACACTTTCTGTTTCTCACACCAGAGAAACTATTTGGTATTTACACATGTGTGTCTGATTTATTTCACTTGAGTGTATGTTCTCAATGTGCATCCATTTACCTAGAAATGTTTCAAGTTTATCGTTCTTTATGGCAGAGTAGTACTCCATTGTATAAAAGAACCACATTGTCTTTATCCATTTGTCGGTTGGTGGGCATTTGAACTGTTCCCAAGATTTAGCTATTACAAACTGTGCTGCTATAAACATGGGTGTACAATATATCACTGTTGTATGATGCTTTTAATTCTTTTGGGAAGATACCAAGAAGGGGAGTAGCTGGGTTGAATGGAACCTCTAGTTCTAGTTTTTTTGAGGAATCTTCACACTGATTTCCATAGAGGTTGCACGAGTCTGCACTCCCACCAACAGTGGAGAAGGGTTTCTTTTTCCTCTGCTGCCCCACCAGCATTTGTTATTGGTTGATTTCTGTTTCTACATACCAAGGTCTTGGTATGTAATTTAGTCTGGTCTTGAACTGACTTTGTAGCCTTAACTGGCCTCAAATTTGTATTGATTCTCCTGCCTCAGCTTCCTAAGGACAGTAGAGTCATTTCTGGTGTCCATAATCAAAAAGCGTGGGATGTCCTCAGATCAGAAAACAGACATTGAAAAGACAGGTTCAGAGCTGGGCATGGTGGTACACACCTGTAATCCCAACACTCTGGGAAGTTGAGGCAGGAGGGTTGCTGGGAGTTTGATGCCAGCCTGAACTACACAGCGAGAACCTGTCCCAAAGAAAAAAGAAAGAAAGAAAGAAAGAAAACCATGGTGGGGGATGGTGGCTGGAGATTGTAGCTCAGTGTAAAGGCTTAGGTTCAATCCCCAGGAGTGAGTCCCTTCCCCCCAAGTGAAAATACAAGAAAGACAAATTCTGAGTTAACTGTTCCTTTTATTTGTTTATTTTGTCAGCCTTACCATGTAGTTCAGGCTGGCCTTGAACTCAAGGCGCTCCTCCTGCCTCAACCTGCCAAGTGCTGGGATTACAGGCGTGCACCACCACACCAGCTCCTTTTTCCTTTTTAGAGACAGGGCTGAAGCTGGCCTCAAACTTTTTTCTTTTCTGTACTGGGGATCGAATTTAGAGCCTTTACACTGAGCTATATTCCCTAGCCTTTTTTGTTTGTTTGTTT